AAAATAATTATGTATATATATCTTTGTTTGTATGTAACATGTATTTTGGTGATATCGTTAGTTATATGGATCCTCGTTGCATTTTCCCGATATTTTCGTTGTGCATTATAATTTATATTGGGTCATCATATCTGGTATATGGTATCAATTGTTGAAGGTTTGTATATATATATTTATAAAGATGTATGTTGCCATTTAAGATTTGGAAACTTGAAAAATTCATTGGTTGAGCCCACCTTTCCTTTTTAAACTTCGCAATTAGCAACAGAGTCTTGTGAGTTCTTTTTTTTTAATCCGGGCCACAAAAAGAGAAATATATTGATGTAAAATAAAGAGTATACACAGAGGTAGGCATCGCATTACATCAATAATAAAGAAAATGAAAAGAGGGCAGCCAGGAAGCTGTCAACAAGTTCGGAAAAAATCAATAGCTAAACCGTGGCACAAAAGCAATACACTATGTTCAAGACATAAAAACGAAAAAAAGATTGGCAAGTAAACTCAACACAATCACTGAAGAAATAGCGCCAAAAGGTCTTGGGTTTGAAAAGTTGACAACCAAAAATTCCAATAAAATTTGTGTTTTTCCAAAGTTTACAAAACTAATAACCAATTTAGGTTCAAACTACTTCATCAACATGGGCTTAGATACAACACATTGCTTTTCCATCGGAATTATTCAAACATAAGCGTGCTTGTCCATTTTGAAAGAAGCTTTTTTGATGTTGTCATGTTTGTTCCACTTGAAGTTCTTATAATATCCACAACATATACCTAGTACAGGATTCATTGGATTGGTATAAGTTTTGTAGGGTAAAAATTCCGAGTGGTATGAGGTAAATTTTGTTAGTATTGAAGAACTTGCCTTGTTTGGTTTGTATTTCAGAAACAATTTTTGAGAGAAAAAAGTACCAAAACACGTTTGGCAAACCTGTTTCTGAAATATTCTCTGAAGACTATCTCAAAACACGTTTTGGAACTCTCTCTCTCAAAACTTCTCTGAAAACGGTCTTCTCTCTCTCAAAAGAACCTTTCTGACCTATCTCTGTGATACAAAGAAAATCATTAAAGGCAGTTCAACGGCTCTCTATCGGCTGAGTCAAGGAAGACGATCCGCACCTGTACGCCAAGATCTGCACTCGCCCAAGTGCTTTCGAAGACCCACTTGCCTTCTCTCCATCAATAAGCTGTTCAAGATTTGAGAAATCTTCCGCATTAGATGCACCGACACTGTCTATCACCTCCTTCATCTCTGTGTCGCACAGGCTTGAGGCAATAGGGGGCATCTGCTCGTACGGGTCCTCTTTGAACAGCCACAACTTCTCTGCCTCACAGATTTCCCCAAATCGTGCCCTGGCTTTGGTCTTAGTCAAACTGAATGAAATCTTCTCACAATCGGGACTTGTAACATCAAAGTCCTTCGTTTTTTTCTTCTGGGGTCTATAAAATGCAAACCAACCACCTTCGAACCCCACGAAGACGAAGCATAACTTCATCCTTGGTTGCAAAAACGGAGAGGCCGTGCTCAAAAGTTCGTTGTGGACGGTGGGATTTGAGGACCACCAAAAGCAGGCAAGCCAGAGGTATTTTTAATGCACGAATACTTTATTTTATTTTATTTTAAATTTCATTTGGGTTTGTGAGTTTTGAACAATGTATTGACTAATTTTGGTTTACAAAGTTCACATGGCTTTTGCCTTTGGGTTTGTCAATTTGTGGTGAATTTCCCAATCAGTAAATTTTCGAAATTGTAGTCCATAGAGTCACACACCAGAGTCACTTAAACAAATTTACAGAGGTTTAAAAATATCCTTCAAAGGGTGAAAGTATAATGTACCCTAATGTATTAATTATAGGCCGATGCAGCCAACTAACTTTTCAAAATATTAATTGGCCTTTCAATTTTAACTCTGTGATTCCTTTTGTTTGCATAAGAACTATTCTAGGCTCAAATTTTTTAGAATCTTTCACTTGGCCATGCTTTAATTTACACCATAGCCCTGTGTTATTAGAAAAATTTCCACCGTTGGATACATTGTCTGATGAGAGAAGTCATCACATTCCTAAATTTATACATTGTCTGATGAGAGAATTCCTAAATTTTGAGCCCCATATTTCATAAATATATAATTGTGGGTCATACAAACACCTAAATTTATTTTCTGTAAAACTCAAAAAGGACAAACATGTGGGTATGAACTCTGTAAATTTATTTTTTGTAAAACTCAAATATTTGATATTAGCATTTCATATTTTAAACTAGCTAATACTATGTGCAATGAATCCATTAACAAGTGGGCATGAACTCTGAAACGTCTTTTGCTTAACAGTCTATCATCAAGCAAATTGGCACTTTGGTAAGGTTTTGGAGTATAAGTCTTGAGATCTTCCTTTTTTATGTTTTGTTCAATTACGAGTTTTGATTGATATTGATGAATGGGTCATCTAATGTAGTAGTTGGGTTTGATCTTAGTTGATATGATGCACACAATTATATCCATTGAAGTCTTCATTTTTAGTTGATATGATATATGAGTTATGAAACCATGCTAAGAACATCTCTGACTTAGAAGATATTTCCATTAAATATCTTCTACTTTTCCCATTTTCTTTTTTCCTATGGCATACATGGAACTGTATAACATGATGAATAACTGGAAATAACTCTCTTCTACGATCTAGTGCATCATTGTTGTAACTTGGAAGTTAGAACTGTTGTGCTGCTTTTGGTGTCAATTTATCACTAATTTGCACATGATTCCAGAATCCTTGTACATGCCTAATGAAGATTTACATCCCATCTCTGTTATCTACTTTCATTAAACTTGAATGTTTTCAACTTCATTTCTGCGCTTACATATATATATTATTTATCACATCATTTGTCAACTAAGTTTATTAATAGTGGGTTTTTTCTTTCATTTCAATGTATTGGATCTGTTAAGTTGTTAACTATAATGAAGTATATTTCCTCTTTTTTATTCCTTTATGTTTTATTCTTTTATTTATTTTTATTATTATTATTATTATTTTGATTAATTTCCCATATTATCTTTGAAACTTTGAAAATTACTTTCATTCTGCTCATTCTGAAAATTCTGCTTTGATAATTCTGCTCATGTATGCCATATAAATTCTTCTCATGTATGCCATATAAATTCTGCTCATTCTGAAAATTCTGCTTTGATAATTCTGCTCATGTATGCCATATAAATTCTGCTCATGTATGCCATATAAATTCTGCTCATTTTGCTCACGAGTCACTTTTCTACTATTTTTTCGATTTTGTTTTTTTGTATGGTATTGTTAAGTTTTGAAGGTCTACTATCGTACGAAAATTTTGCTCATGTATGCCATATAAAATATAGGTATTATGCAAGAGCATTATAGTGCACAAAATTGTCCATAACTGAATTTTTCATTTTGATTTTAAACCAGGCCAACTTTGTACTCCTCGGTCATTGTTCAATACACCAAGGGCAAAGAGGAAGAGATCACCTGAACCATCAGTCAATTCCTCCACTATTGAAAATGATTGTCCTTATCCGGTAAACTTTTGCACGCGAAATCTCATATTAAATATTCATAATATTCGTAATGGCTATTATTATGCATATGCTTAATATCACTTACTGGCAAACTATTTTTGGAACTTCAGCTGTTCACATAACGATAAACGGTAATTTGTTGCACTTGTATTAGGCTAGAATGGCTAACGATAATGACGACTTTAAGATGTGGGGGTCCGAAATTGTGAAGATATTTTTAGAAATATTGGTGGACGAAATTAAGAAAGAGGGTCCTTCCATGTCAAAGAAAGATAGGAGTTTTTACCCAAGGCAATGGCAAACAATTGATGATGAGATGATTAAAAAGGTTGGAAAAAATTATGGGCTAAAAAAATTGAAGGGTAAGTTCGCGCGTTTGAAGGCGAACTAGAAAGAGTTTGTTGCTCTGAAAAACCACACGGGTTTGGACTGGGATCCAATCACTCAAATAGTGACAGCCCCAGACGATGTTTGGGAAAATTATGTTCAAGTAATTATTTTGGCGCATACATTTACCAGAACCATGTGTATAGAGAAATATTTTTTTAAATGATTAATTAATGTTTACAACTTGTAGGCACACCCAAATGCAAAACAATTCCAAACCAAAGGCCTTGAACATTATGACCTCATGTCAGAAATATTTGCCAAGTCGTTTTGCCACTGGCGCTTTTGCCCGTTCTTCTCGTCAAGGTATACCCACATCTGATGACGAGCAAGAAATGGATGAACGCTTTCATGCATATACGTCAGGAAAAGGAGTAGTAGATGAATTTTGCACTTCCGGAAGTAAGCGTAAGTCTAGTGGCCAGGGTCAGTCCAGCAAGAACCCAAAAATGGATGATGCACTGCAATCATGGCAACGTTCATGTGAAGCACGTGAACGGTTTTACCTTCAAGCAGAGGCCAACGCTGGGGTATCTGATGTGTACTCCGTTGCAGCGTGTATGGCCATCCTAAAATCAATGGCCCTGGATTCGAGCTTGTTTTTGAAGGCCATGAACATGTTCACATCACTAGAATGGTGAACCATGTTGATGACCATGGAACCGGAAATGAGGTACCTTTGGATCCTCAGTTTGTGAGAAGCTTGGTCATCCCACTGTTCGGTTTGAGGTGAAGGAAATGAAGATGGACTATGTTTGGGTGTATTTTTCTTTTTTTGGCATTTGTTAAACCTAAATTATATTTGTTTTAATTTGTTTGTTTTTCCCTTTCGGTTTGGACTATGTTGGGTGTTGAGCTAACTATCTATATCATGCTGTCTATGTGGTTTCGCTTTAGACTTGGCACTATGTTGTTGTTATATATTTTCGCCATGCTTTCTTTGTTGCAATGTCCTCATTAAATTTTTAGTGCTATACTCATGTCATTACTGATAATACCTTGATTGTTTTACACTTTCCGCTTTAGATGTCGTCGTCATGACCCAATGGAGGGCAACCGAACAATATGTATGACCCGTACAGTGACGATGACGATGATGTGATGGACTTACACATGGTTTGTCAACTAACACGTGACATTTCTACGAGACAACCGCAACGTAATTGTCCATACACTAGCGAGCAGTACATAAAATTCTTACTAAGTGGAAATCCTAAATCAATCCATGAACAATTGCGAATGGAAGTCCCGATATTTGTGGAATTGGTTAAACAGATTGTCCGTAGAAATGTTGTAGACTGGTCGAACATGCGATTGTCACTAGAAGAGTCATTGGCTATGTTTTTATTTATCTGTGGTCAAAGTTCAGGAACAAGTAATGCTAGAGATCGATTTCAGCACTCAAATGAGACAATTCATCGTCATTTTATACTTATGATGCGGGAATTGGGAAATCTTGCACCATTTGTAATCCAACCACCGAACATGGCTGTTACCCATCCTAAAATTCGGAATGACAGACGGTACTGGCCATGGTTTAAGGTAACAAAAATGGCAGTTCATTTGCATTGTTTTATATGGCTTATTGAGACACAAAATTTGATAAATTAATTCAAAGTTATGTCATTTAGGACTGTGTAGGGGTCATAGATGGCACGCATATTGTTGTTGTGGCACCAGAAGGTGACCAAATGCCATATCGAGGTAGAAAAGTGCATACAACTCAAAATGTCATGGCTGCATGTTCATTTGGCATGAAGTTTACGTTTGTATACACTGGTTGGAAAGGTAGTGCACATGATTCGAGAATTTTTCTAGAAGCACTTACCACAAATTCTGCTGACTTTCCATACCCACCACCTAGTAAGTGTATTTGTTTTTAATTTAGAGTTTTCCTTTTTTTCACACCCAAATATGCGATGACATGTTCTTACTGAAAGAGTTTCACTGTAGACAAGTATTATCTCGTTGACGCCCGGTATACACACATGCCCGGGTACGTAGCCCAATATCGTGGCAAAAAATACCATTTGCAGGAGTTCAATAGGCGGCATCGCTATCATGGTCCAAAGGAGTTGTTCAACCATAGACGTTCTTCTTTGAGGAATGTTATAGAAAGAACCTTTGGAGTGTTGAAGCAATGGTTTTCATTATTGAGACACATGCCACGGTATAATATGGTACGACAAGGGCTAATTGTTATGGCATGTTGTGTTCTCCATAATTGGATCCGAACGGTGCAAGAGCATGATGAATTTTTCAATGCAGAAGAATCAAGTGACGAAGATGAAGACGAAGACGAAGATGAAGATGAAGATGAAGGTGAAGGTGAAGGTGGAGGTGAAGGTGAAGGTGAAGGTGCAAGTCAAGTTCAGGGTCAAGGGATCCAGAAGGTGCAAGAGCATGATGAATTTTTCGATGCAGAAGAATCAAGTGACGAAGATGAAGACGAAGATGAATATGAAGGTGAAGGTGGAGGTGAAGGTGTAAGTGAAGTTCAGGGTGAAGTTGGAGTTCAAAATGTCTATGGAAATGAAGATGGAGTACCAGCTATACAACAACACGACCATGTGAACATGTCATGTGAACAACTACTGCATATGGGACAACGACGAGATGAGGTTACAGCATCTATGTGGGAAGCATACAACAATAGGCATATGATTACAAGTAGGTAGATTCTTTTTGGTAATTGACAAAAATGGAGCACATAATCAAAGTAGGTTAATGTTTTAAACTTCACATTATAAAATGTTTTCTTGTATATATTTTAAAATGGGATTGCTAATTTCACGCCATATGCAGATGAAGGTGACACCAAATTGTTCATGTGGCGCTGGTCCAATGTTAGTGATTATGGCTTGCACCGAAGCGAACAATGGTCGTTATTTTTTTCGTTGTCCTAATTGGGATAATCATAGGGGCTCCTTCCTCTAGGTAGATGACTATGATGGTGGGATACAACATCTTACACCTACGCAAGTGCCTCGTACTGGCGGGAAGTGGTTGTTTTGGGTTTGTTGTGGATGCACCGCTTTTCTTTGTTTTAATATTATGATCCTTTTGTTGGTACTTTTGTTTGTCATTGTACTTACGTAGGATATTCCATATTGTGGTTGAAACAATGCTTGAACTTGTTGTTTTGTTATGGTAGCTCAATTATTGGTAGTAATTATGTTGTAGTATTTTGTTTTTTATTATTTTCAAACAGCTTGTGGTCGTTGTTTTATGTCAGAAGTGTTGATGTACGGTTATTTAAATTTGTTTCTTGCGCATGTATGGTTCATGTATCGGTACTATAGTTGCATGTTTTTTAATGTTCGTTTGGTCATGTATGGTTTTTTGGAACCATGGGGTACTTTTTTTTTTTTAAAACCATGGGCTAGTTTTTCTGTTATACTTGTTGGAAAGGAATAGTCCTTCATCTTGCAGGCATGGTCCCTCGGTTGATTCGAAACATTCTCAGGCATGGGTAATTCGAACCATAGGTAATTCGAAACAATCGAACCATGGGTAATTCAAAACATCTAGCTCCCTCGATTCTTTATCTTGCAGGCATGGTTTTTCTGTTATACTTGTTGGAAAAGAACAAGCTACATTCTTATTCGGTTGAGTTTCATCTTTCTTTGTGCTTCTGATTCCTGGTTGAGATCTTCTACAAGCTTTGATTTCACCATTTGTCTACTAGGGTGCTCAAGAGATATAGCCCGACTGTGTTCCCCCTGTCAGAGAATAACGTGGTCCCGAAAAGGAACATCAGGAATCCCCGGCGCATACTGCTCTATGGCCTCAACAGTTTCGGGCGTAGTCCCTCGGTACTGCTCTGTAAACCAGGTATACCTAACCATGCATGATGATCGGTAGATCAGCGGATGGGCTCCGAGTAGGTAAGTCTAGGCTGCCTCCCACTCACCCATATCGAAGTCATATAGGATCGGCTGACCTCCCACGTCGAGGCCCGTCAGCATAGAAAAGTCATATGGGGTCATCGTCATGTCCCCGGTGGCTGAGAAATGGAAGGAGTTGGTGGTGTCCCACCATCTCTCTACAAGTGCACCTAGAAGGGTCCTGCTCGCCGGATGATGCAACAAACCCATACAAAATGAGCCAAACCCTGCCTCATCAACAATATGTCGAACAGCGTTTGGGAGCTCTATATACCACTCCCTCGCGATGATCGATCCTATCCCCATGTGAAACGGGCAGCTACATGCGTTCAGAATGAACAGACGTATTCAGTTTTAGAAAGAACAGTATACTGTGTTTTGAGCTGTGTGCCCAATGAAAAGAATGCTGTGTTTTGAGCTGTGTGCCCAATGAAAAGAATGTTGCGTTTTGAGTTGTGTGCCCAATGAAAAGAATGCTGTGTTTTGAGCTGTGTGCCCAATGAAAAGAATGTTGCGTTGTGAGCTGTGTGCCCAGAATATTGTGTTGTGAGCTGCGTGCCAAATGAACAAAGTGTTGTGAGTTGTGTGCCCAGAATACTGTGTTGTGAGCTGCGTGCCAAATGAACAAAGTGTTGCGTTGTGAGCTGTGTGCCCAGAATACTGTGTTGTGAGCTGTGTGCCAAATGAACAGAATATTGTGTTGTGGGCTGTGTGCCAAGTGAGCAGAGTGTTATGTATGAGCTGTGTGCCAAATGAACAAGCGCTGTGTGTGAGCCGTGTTCAGAATGAGCAGACATAATACATAGTGAAAACATAAAGTGTGCATGAAATACAAAATACATCGCAGAAAATGTAAAAGTGAAGTACGCACCTCGCGCGCTTGATGAGATAAGTGGGACTTAGGCTCCCGTAGTAGCAGGTCTGCGGGTGCTCGCCGCGCAAAATCAGTGAAATGATGGAAGGAGCTGGGAGGTATTATGTGCTCCTGCTGGCGGTACCTCTCCGGGTCGAACGGCTGAATCCTCGGTGGCAATGGTATGATATCGGGCTCGTCCTCTGCTCCCGGGGAACCGCCACCATGTGGCACGTGATCAGCCATCTGAAAAAAGGTGCAAAAATGAGCGAAATGAGCCAAAATTGCAAAAAGTCAACAAAAGCCAACTCTCGGGAAGAGAAAAAGTCAACAAAAGTCAAAGCCCGGGAAAAGGTGCTAAACTTTGAGAGAAACATACCTCAAGTGGTGAAAATGGAGAAAGAAGCTCCGAAAACAAATTCTAATCGGTTCAAAACGAAGAGAATCGAAAGTTTTCGCGAATCAACTTCACGTGGGGCTTTGGAAAACGCGTATAAAGTATGGATCTAAGAAGAAAATGGGTCTAGGAAGGAAGAAGTATGTATTTCGGCAGTGGATGTGTGAGAAAAAGTGTTTTGGAGTTGAGTTTTTAAAGATCTCCATATGAAAAGGCCAAACTGTCCCGAAGTTGTGTAAACTGGTCGGCCAGCCAGTTTTTCTGGTCAGCCGACCACTTTGGTGGTCAAAAAGTGGTCGGCCACAAGCCTATGTGGTCGGCAGCCCTCCTGGGGTGGTCTTCAGGGTCCCATTGTCCTCCCTATGTGTTTTGGTGATGATTGGAGTCCTCGGCCCTCGAGAAAGTGCAAGGAAAGTATACTTTTTTGGCTCAAATTGTCCCGTGGGAACTTCGATTCAAGTCTTCGATGCGTGGCTCATCGTCACTCGTCAAGAGCAGGGTGTATCCTTTTTAAGTACGTTGTGACCCCTCCGAGAGGTAAATCGGAGGTTACGGTTGATTTGCTCTCATTAAGGCTTGTATTTCCTCATTCGGCATTTTGCTTCAAACATGCAATTGAAGTCGCACAGTTTACTCGCGTTGTTATGCGCACATTCAGTTGCATTGTTATGCACCTCATTACTTGCGTTGTCACGCGCTTTTCAACTTGCATTGTTATGCACCCTTCCACCCGCATTGTTATGCACTCTTCACATGCGTTGTCACGCACGTTCCACCTGCATTGTTATGCACCATTCCACCTACACTGTTATGCACTCTTCACATGCGTTGTCACGCACGTTCCACTTGCATTGTTATGCACCTCTCTACTTGCGTTGTCACGCACGTTGCTTGCATTGTTATGCACCTCTTTATTTGCGTTGTCACGCACTTTTCACTTGCATTGCTATGCACCTTTTCAATTGCATTGTCACGCACTTTTCAACTTGCATTATTAAGCGTCCGTTCGCTTGCATTGTCATGTAACCTTTTCACTTGCATTGTTATGCGCATTTTACCTACATGTGTATCTACTATATTGTATCTATCAAAGTTTCTTCTTGTGCAGGCATGATATTGTATGTACGGTTCATTTGAAGCTAGCACAACCAGACAATGTTGTATGTGTTTCAGTCAGAGGAACTCCGGGTGAGATCATTCCTATTCCTGCTTAAAATGTTGTATTTATTTTGCATAAATGCTTCATCACAGCTTTCCTTACATGATCATAAGTTATTGTAATAACCCTCACCACTGATTACTGATTAAGCTACTGATTACTGCTAAACTAAGACTGATCATGATAAGTAATTGAAGTGACTGAAAAACTGAACTGATTGATTGAATGTGCTAGTTTAAATGCATATCTATCTGTTGACTGTTAAACTATCTGTTCATGTTTTATGCTTTAAACTGCAAATTGAAGGCCTTATCGGCGGCCGAATCTGAAATCCACTTCCCAAACGGAGGCACTATTAGTTTTCTTGAAGTAAAGCTAATTAAAGAGTTAGGCTTATCTACAACTTTGCCATTGTGAGTGGGCCACTTCATGAACTATATTTGAGCCTTATTATACACTTAGGAAAACATTTCATCAGCTCATCTCCCTTGCCTTAGCTGACCAAGAGAGAGAGAGGGAGAGAGAGAATTGAGTTCATCTTGTTGATTTGCTTGGAAATTGAAGGAATTGTAGAGTTTATTGCAAAATTGAGCCTCTAGGCTTGTGATTGGAGACCTAAGGTAGAGATTCTATCCCTTGGTTTATGTATTTAAGTTGTATCTTCATGAATCATGGACATTTAGTGAGTTGAAGTCTAGAATAGATTCTATATGTTGAATTGAAGCTCATTTCATGCATGCATGTTGCCATTCTTGAGTTTTGAAATTAATGTTCATGAAATTCCTCTTGCATGTTCATATTTTGAGTATAGTTCATGATTTTACCATGTTTTTGGAAGAAATTGGCTCATTAGAGCATGTAATTGAAGCTTTGAATTGGTTTAAACTCATGCATGTCATGTTTGAGTTATGTTCATGAAAATTGGTTTGAAATTGGATTTAATTGAACTACCTTTGGGCTTTGATTTCTCAAATTGATCTTTGAAACATGTTATATTATGAGTTTTGAAGTGTTTTCCAAAAAATTAGCCCAAAAGGATTGAATTTGGTGTTTTAAAACTTGGTTTTGAGCTTGAGGTTCGAATATGGAATTCCCAGAATTTGGACTTTTGCTCGAGCGGAAAAATCGTGTTCCCAGTACTTTCATTTGTTTTAGAGTCCGCTCGAGCGGGGTATTGGAAGATCGAGCGAGGACTTGTGTCACACGATCGAGCGGGTATCGAGCGCCTAATCGAGCGTGATTTTCACATATCCAGTACTTTTACTGTAGCTTGCAGTCCGCTCGAGCGGATTGATTCACGCTCGAGCGGAGACTCTTGTCTGCATGTCCGCTTGAGCGAATATAGACACGCTCGAGCGTAACCCCTGTTTTCTGAAAAATGT